AGTGGGGGAGAGGGCAGGGGAGTGGGGACTCAGATGTTAAATAGTGAGCCAACTCTGGGTCTGGTTGTTAGAAGGTTGGATAATCCTGTCTACCGGATAAAACTCTATCTGGTGGATAAGGCTAAACGTTTTGCTATAACTTATCCGCGGGAGAGCGATTTATCTGTTAGATAGTGTTATCTGCCTTTTATGCAACTGTGCCCAGATGTAGAGGTTCAGGTAATGAGGCCCTGAAGCCAGCTATTTCTTGAAATGAACCCTTCCCTTTGTGTGAAGGTATAGTTTGCAATCTTAATCTTAATGATAGGTGTGTTAATGGTGAATGTTTTCATTCTTTGTTAATCGTGACAGTATTGTACACCCATGACAGCCTTGGCACTCTGACTCTATTTTATTTCCCATGGAGTAATGTCTTTGGTTTGCCAAAAGGGTTTACAGGTTATGAAACATATAAAAATGATTTTGTGGCATTCTTTTATTAGTAATCAGTTTGGGTTCTACATGATGATACATTTTAGGACAACATGATATGAAACAAATGAGTGAGCCGTAAGACAGGGAAAGAAGTACTCATCAAAATTACTGCCAAGGGTAGATGTTTTTCATCAAGTGTAGATTCTTGACAACTTCATGTTACAAGCTACATACAGCAGTTCAGGGTTTTACTTTCCGTGCAGTTGTCTGTTAATGTGTTTGCCAGTTAGGAGTGTATTATGGTCTCATCGATCACCCATACATGTAGGTTTTGCACGAAAGACTTGCGCGAAGACAAGCCCTTGCTCAACAAAGAGTTGTGGATAATGAGCAGGTTTGTAATTAGCCACATTACTGAACATTCGTTTAACGAGTTTACTTTTTCACCTTTCAGATATAATATGATATGAACTCAGTCTCGGTCTCTGTCATTATTCCTTGATAATACTCTCTTCTTTATTCTGTTAGAAATAAAAAAAATATTGAACCAGTTTTCAAGTTCAGTTTGGCACAGCTAGATGACCCTCTTCTAATTCTAATTCTGTTCCCGCACAATTACTGAATGATATACTACTTCGTAGGAAAATGAGGAATTTGACGACCGATTGAAACAGCCGAAGAAGAATTTGGACGTTTTATGCAAAAGGGGAAAGCTTCAAAATGACCAGAAGGACAGGTAGCTACAATTTATAACAGGCTAAAATTCACCTGCAGGTGTCTTCAATTTTAAAGCGCTAACAAAGATGAAGTGGAAATCACGACTGGCAGGCCGCTTTTACCATGTTTGAACATTGTTAAAAGAAAAACTTGCGTTATTTATTTTTGGTCATTTTCATAACTTTGAGACATTTGTTTCAAAGTAATCGTCAGCGCTATACTCCCTGCCAAGATTATAGCGGCGCTATTTTCTGAATAGGTCATGAAAGTCGTAATAATTTTGGCGAAAATTTTCGAAGAATATTCCCCGACTATTGTGTGTACATAAGTGTAACTATGTTTCTGTTTATGTCTAATTCCAAGGATCATGGATGAATATGAAAGAGATCTCAGAGTTTTAGAAGAGAAACATCAGCAAGGTTTGGAGAAAACAAATAAAGTTGTTGTATCCTCCTCTTATCAAACCAGATTCTAAACTTTAGTCTCCAAGGGGCGAAACCACATGTATGTAACTGGTTGACTCATTTCTACTTGGATGTTATGGATCGGTAGTGTTTTGACAAGGTCTACTCGATGTTATTTGAGTGAAAATAATTTGTCGGAAGAAACTCTCCTACTGCGTCGTCGGGCAATCGTAAAACTGTTGATTATCAGCTCGAAGTGATAAAAGTATAAACAGGTAGTTTATAGTAGCGAATTTTCAAGAATTTATGTAATCCTTCATTAAAAGGTTGTTTGGTTTCACATTGAAGTATGGATAGAGAAATTCAATAATCTTAGGCTGTTTCTATTATCACCGGCCGATGTAGCTTTGGCCCAAGCTATATAAACTACAATATACTACCGCTTACCAGTCATGCCTCTTTTTGGTTTTATTTTATGAAGCATTGCAACTCATTCCATGTTCACAGAGACAGTTTGGTGAACGCAACACTATACTAAAATGCGGCACTTGTTCAATTGTAACTTAAAAACTTACTTTCAATAATTACAAACTTGTAGATAATTATTCTTTTCTAAAGAATTAATGGATTACTTAAACACACCTTAGTATTAGGAAGCACCGAGCAGTATTCAGTAACCCTAAATCACCATGACATCTCAGACTTGAACGATATTAGTTCCAGACGTAACACAGTACAGCGTCCTGTCTCGTCATCAATCTACCTGGCAGAGGTGCTTTTGTTGATTGTGATTTTTCAATGCTAACTTTTTACAGCTATCCTGAAAAGTCAAAACGATTTAAACGAGAAGCTCAGAAGAAAGCGGGAGCAAAGAATGAGAAAACTAGAAATGGAACAAGTTGCAGAAAAAGAGGATTTTGAAAGGAAGGTACAGCACATATAACAAGTAGACGATCTTCTTCCTTTTTTCGCTCTCTAGCTTTTTCTTTGTATCTGTTCCTTGTCTTCTTCGCAACGTTTCTGTATTCTCGTCACCTCGTCGCGTATCTTCAAATCATGTCCTCATATCATCATGTCACGCAGTGAGATCTCTGCAGAGAGGGCTAGCGCTACGCGACGCATTGTGATTGAGATTTTTTTTTTACCATCATCATTACAGGCCAACCAGCTGATTACTGATGGTAACATGACAGCTGAGGACTTCCTGGAGGCGAACCATAAACTTAGGGTGCAGCAGCAAGTTGCGCGTGAAGAAGAGGAGGACCGAGCTGATGAGTCCGAAGTGGAAGAACTGAACGTCCTCCGACAGGTTGGTGTCAGGTTTAAAATACCGGTAGTGTGGGTACATTAAAAAATACCGAGTAAATAAAGTTTTCACTTATTGAAGAATAGTTTTTTCAATGTAACCACGGTGTGCTCGACGGTTACTTGCAGTCAAGAACATCTCGTGAACACGCTGAGATATACCAGATTTCGATTGCCCATTAGACTTCTGGACGAAAGTGTTGCAAAAGATTGCCATTAGACCGGCGCTTAACTTCGCCAGTTTGACGTACCCAGTATACTGTTCACACAACTTGCTGTGTTATGCCACGAAGCTCTTATTAGATGATTCGAAGCGCAGGCTCTAAAGTTTTGAAGTGCAAACATTTCTACTACCTAGATTCTGGTGAGAACAAGGCATGTGACTGTACCATTTTTTCTTTGATGTTTCAAACAATAGAAGCTAGACGAAAAACGACAACGTAGTTTGAAAGAAAGAGAGGAAACCTTATTTGAACAGATTAGAAAGGAGGCGCATCTGTCGTCAAAGGAAGCTGAGAAATTGATGAACAAACATCTGGAAGAAGTCAACGCAGCAAACGGTTTGTACAATAAATGCAATGATGTTTTTTGATACTATGGAAAGAGCTAGCGATGGCGATGGAGAGAAATGTCCTAGAGAGTTATAAAGGCTGTAAGTAGTGTCATAATATTTTGGACATCGGCCGAAATTTCTTTGCAACGACAGAAGTAAAGAAAAGTGTAACTTTGTCAGGAAGGAAGGCTAAGACAAAGAAGAAATCCAACTTCATACTTTTTTGATCTCACACTCATATAAGGAGCTAGCTGAGCTACAGGGAACTCGCAAGTAAGCAAAGGGGACCGTTTACAAGTTTGCGCTTTTCTATTTACCCTTAGAGAGAAAAAACCGTGAGCGTCAGAGGCAACGAGCTGTAATTCAAGAGAAACTGGAAGAAAGGAAGAAAAGGTGGGAAAGGGATTTAGAACGACAGCAAGCCGAACAGAACCAGTTGGTTGCAGAGCAAGAGAAAGCTATAAAACAAGTGTTAAACACCCAAGCAGGACTCCCAGAAGAGTATGTATAAACAGAGGAATTAATAGAGGAACTTTACACTTAATGTGAAATGTTAATTCAGCTTTAAAACTGATTAGGAGCTATAATGATGTTTACTAATTCTAGGTTCGGTTGAAACATTTCGCCCTACACCTTTTTACACCACTGAGCGCGATAGAGTACAAAGAATTGACGTCAGGAAATTTATGCCAGTATGAATTTGGTAATTTTAGTAACAGGGGTCAACGCGAAAGAGGCGATTGAATTTAAAATAGGGAACTTAATGCAACTTTCATGAAGAAACGGAATTTAGAAAAATAAATAAATAAATAACACTAAAATATTTACTTTAACACTTGTCCACATCTGCAACAAAAACATTTTCTTAAAATGTCCCTAAACGTAATGGTTAAGGGAGAGATATCGCTCGTTGGACTGTTCGATGTAATGGTGAATCTGCCCTTGATCAACTTGATCAACAGCGATTGAAGTTTAGTCTTAAATTCGTGTATCGTTAATTTCCTACGGTAAGATAAAATCAGTTGTAACAAGAAAAGGGTTTAAGGCATACAGTCAGTCCCATTTTAGCATTAGTTTGTTCTTCCAGTTTTTCCTCGAGTACCCACCTTCTTTACCCGAGCTTATCAGTGTATCCCTGTATTAACATGATCCATATGCTCCTCCAAAAATGGCAGTTGAGAAGGAGACGTTTGCTTTCGTAGTAATTATCATTCTTTTTGCTCCTACAGCTTACGTAAACAAGTGATGCTAGAACACGAGCAGAACGTGATAGCACTCAACAATCATTTACAAATGACGAGACTGAGGCAACAGAAAAGGTTTGTTAGTGTAAGATAAAGAAATCAAACGAAGTTTTTTATGAGATGAAAAATCGTGACTGGTTCTCACGCATTCTGAAGACGAAAATAAAATGTGTCATGTAGCCTTATTTGAATGTATTCCACTCCGGTTCTGACTCATTCTGCAGTTAGATGGAGCAAATATTCATCGAATATTAAAGGAATTCTGGTATTACATTGGTTTTGCTTCAGTGCTTGCTGTGATTGGTCCAGAAAAACTCGCACCTTTCCCCAAAATGATCAAATGCGAAACTAAAATCAATCACGACTTGGTTACTTTTGATTTCCCGCGCTTAAAGCAGTTTTCTGGTTTTTATTCTGTATTCTCATTAGCTTTTTGTAATGTCTTCATTTGTTTTTAATGGCCGGGGGGACAACTATGTTTGTTGAAGTGGCACTCTTTGGTAAAGCGCTCTAGAAAGAAAAATATCGATAGTTTAGTGCACTTGGGCAGTAATTTGAAACAAAACTTTTCAACAAGGTTTGCTTCTAAAAGAGTGATACATCGTGATCGTGTGATGAGTTTTCGTTACAAAACAAAATTTGTTTTAAAATTTTGGTTGAAAATTGGCTTATTAAGCTTGAATGAAAACTTCCAATGATAACTCACAGAGTAGTTTTCAACTAGTGTCCAAAGCAATCCAAGATTGACTTTGCTCTGTGATTGGCTCAGAAAACTTGCGCCATTCTCGACCAATCAGATTTAAAACTTGAAGCAACTATGATTTCGTCACTCGCGTTTTCCCACGTTTTATGCAGTTTGCTGTATTTTATCCTTGAGTTCTCATTGGCTAACGATGATGTCAGTCGACTTTCGCCCCGATTGGCTGTTGTGATAATTATGGTTTTGATTTTTCGAAAGTCGACCGAAAACTGCTCTGTGCGAATAACAAAGTGGTAAGGGTATGGAAACGTAGGGGGAGTAAGTAAGTAACGATGGAGAGGATAAGCAAGTATATCAAATGAAAACACTTGAAAATTTCAAGTTTAACAAACCATAACTTAGCTCAGTATTTAACGGAAAGGAAAGTGTACCTTGATGAACTGCAGAAGCTTGTGACTCTGTAATCTAACTGTTTCTTCCCTGCAGGTTGGAACAGCGCCTGGCAACAAGACGAGCCAGGCTTGCTGAAATGAGGCAACAGATGGAGAAGGAACGAAAAGAATACGAGGACAACGACCCAGAAGCCATGAAGAACCTTACACGTGTTCAGGTTAGATTTTCACTTCACTAATCTCATCAATATTACCTTAACTTGCCTGGGGATTGCTGTGATTAAGATTTCAGATGTTTTTTTTTGTTTATGTAGCACATTGAATATCAAGCTGAGGTGAAGAAAATAGAGGCTGAACATCAGACCGCCTTAGAAGAATTGAGAAGGTAAGTCGTTGAATTTCGTTGTTGTTGGACGTCATATTTTCTTTGGTAATGAAGTCTGGATCCAAAACATGGACATTTTGTTAATAATAATTTGAAATTTCTGTCTTTTATAGACGTTTGGCGGCCGAGACAGAGGAAGCTTTAAGAGAACAAGATGAGAGACTTGGTAAAATCTTGGGTAAACTGCAGGTGAGCTGATCACAGACATTCTTATTTGAGTGTTTTTTTTTTTTTTTTTTCACCGGTTTTTTCTCCCCTCTTTACTTTGGGTTATCAATTTACTTTTGTTTTGATTGGCCTTTGTGATAACTGTGGTTTTGGCTTTGCGCCAATCCCTTGAAATGCGTTATAAACTTCGCTTCATTTTCCTCGTGTAACAGTAAAAAATTAATGTCTAGAATCTTATCATGTGTGTTTCACGTAAAGGTTGCAGTTGCAAGAAGGGAAGAAATCATCAAAAAGCAAGACGAAGCTATCCGTTCCCTGGAGGTGATTAATCAGTTAGCTCTCAAGTCACAGCAATTACTGTTCTGTGGTACTTACCTTTCACAAGAACCAACCAGTTGGAAATTTAAGGCATAAAATATTTCATGAATGGACATAGCTTTACAGAGGAATGAAAAGGGTCAGGACTTACAAAAATTTACTGAAAACACACTGAACAGAACAAAAGAAGTGTGTCACCCAAGTCAAATGCCCGTAATTATTTCTAAACGTTCAAAGTAGAACGGCGCCTTCAATTTTTTCCCCTCCGGAGTTTGCGGGTTTTTTCGTGACGGTAAATGGTAAGCAGCCGTGTTCAGCCGTTTGCCGTATGAAGTACTTAACCATGTGACGTTGCTTTGAATAAGTTGACCTCGATGCTAAATAAGTTTGAATGCGAATAGTTCAACTGTTATATATCTTATTTCTCTTTTACTTTTTTCGTTGACATTTCTCCCGTTAAAGATTCTCTTGTTTTGTTTTGTTTTTTTTTTTTTTTTACAGAAAAAGTTAGTAGAGAACATGACGAGAGAAGGAACTTTAGCTGATGCACAGACGGATAAGATTTTGAAACAACATCAGAAACAAGTGGACAAGTTGAATACACAGATAGATATGTAAGAATTGCACACTTGTCTTATGCGTACTTTCGACCGGTAGATTTTGTTTGAAACTGTTCTTGCAACGCTTAAACCTGACTGTAGAGGATCAAGCCAAGGGGCCGTGAAAACTTATGAGCACAATGGTGTTGAGATACCCATTCAGGAACGAACCTTCAATGAGTTGCAAAAACGTAGAAGCGACCAAGAAAGCAAATGTTTTTTTGTAAGTTATATTATTTGCTGTTATTACTATTTTCTGTGCTTCAGTTTCTTCACCTTATTGATTGTAGGGAGAAGGAAAAACAGATGCAGAAAATTCGAGAGAAAATTGCAGCAAAGCAACAAAAGAAAGCGAGGTAACATGTTTGTACGCTACCATGTAAGACGTCATTTGTAGTTGTTGCTCATGCTTCGTTGCGGAAGCCAGGAGCTATTGTAAATTGATTGCACAGTAGGGTTACCCCGCAGAACACGCGTTATTTTGGCGGGAGATTGCTTAGCATTATCTTGGTGAAAATTGTAGCCACAATCTTTGATTTTTGCAGCAGCGGAAGGCTGGGGAGAGCGACGGTCAGAGAGAAGGAGAGGGGAGGGGTGGGGCAATAGGGTGACATATACCTCATACTTCAGACATGGCATGGACCTATCCTCTATCTGGTTTCCTTTAGTTTAACTCAACACTTTACCCTAGCTTTGTTCATTTCGGCCCAGGTGTATACTTTCTTGCAATTAATTTGGTTTTATCAACTGAGTTCAAACTCTGACGAAGGGAGTACGCTCGAAAAGTCAACTTTAGAAATTCTTTACAGTGGCCAATTTACGTTATCAACTCAGTTGACGAAACCAAACTGAATTATCTTCTAATTCCTCTTACCGACGCAGTACCACAGTTTCTTTAGAACCTACCCCCTTTAATCATTGCAATTACTTACCTTTAGAAAAAAAAGACTCCCCTCTACACCAACCTTCGCCGAGAACAGATTTAGATATTAAACTTATTTTTCAGGGCTTTGGAAGAGAAACTTTATCAAGAGAAAGAAGAGCAAAAAAGTAAAGCTGTACAGTAAGTTCCACAACAGTCATGTCTTTCTTATCAGTGAATCTTTTGTTGTCGACCGCTGTTTCTAATCTTAGCCTTTTGCACTCGTGTATAAGTCCATTTTGCTGAACTACCTCGACTACGGCGTATTGTTTTCGATTTTGTTCTAATATTGCTTTCTTTGCAGGTCTGCGGGAACCAAGTTATTCGCACTTTTAGCAGAGCAGCGCCACAGGAGAGAAATGGAAGTACGTCTGACGGCCGTCTCTCACTCAATCTTTTTAATGATCTTGGTTTCTATCTTTGATCGTTTTCTTGTCTCCTTCACCCAGGACCTAGAGCGTGAAATGCAGTTGGACCTTGCGCGTCAGTTGGAAGAGATCAATAAAGAAGTGGACGAGCAACTCTTGGCCGACTTGCAGGTTTGACGACTTCATATAGTTCTCTTGTCTCGGACTTGAAAAGGCCAATATCCGACACGACCATCCAAAATCAGACGCCAGCTCCTTTTTCATACTTGTGCCGTTAACTTTTAAATAATCATTCGGCAGAAATTATACCCTCCTTTTTTAACCTTTTTTTTTTTTTTCCAACATGTATTTTCTTTAAAATGTGCGATTCATTTTCTCTTTAGGAGGAAGAAAAGAAATTTATCGCTACTTTAGCCGAAAACAGTGCAGTAACTGAAGAAGAATTGCTTGAAACAATAAAAAACTCTGCGTCAGGTAAGAAAACTCTCACGCGGGGAAAGGGGCCCCTTTGTTATTTTGATTAACCTCTAAAATGGTCTCAATCAGTCATTTCAATTAACTAAAAGATGAGATACGTTATACTATAAAGGGAACCGAACCTAGTCTTTTCGTCAAATCCTGTTTTTTTTTTCAGCTGGTCGGATATTAATGACCAATTCTTGGTTTTCACATTATTGTCTTGCATCACACTTAAGGAGAGAAACAATACCTCCCGTCCCTTCACCGAATTGAAGTCCAGCGGCGCGCATCATTTGGGTTGTGCGCAAAACTTTAGTCTTTTATCCTCACGGGAAATTATGTTCTTCGTCGTAATAGTAACTATGGTTTGAAAGTTCGCAGTCTGGAGTGAAATCAACAATAGCATTATCTTGAATGATACGTAAAGTGTTCTTTCACGCGTTGCGTTACTCCCGTGCGCTTTGGGTATGCTGGGAATTCTTGGTTGAAGTAGCAGTTGCATGTGCTCGTACAGAGTTATAGATGTTCTTTTTTCACCTTGAATATTTGTCTCGAATAAAATCATGATTAAACTGCTGAAGAAGACCTTGTCTTCAAGGATTTTCATCTTTAACTAAGCCGGGACGAGACTGATGAATCAGAGCAAATGACCTTTCACAAATAACCTTTCACTGTTTTACTTTTTGACAGAGGTTGGAATGGACTCCAAGCTAACGAAGAGTATCGCGAAAGACGTTCGTAAACGAGTGAGAAGCGCCCGAACTCCAGCTCCAGATGTATGACCAGTCACCTTGCTGTGTGACCCTAATTTGTTACTGCAACTGAGTTTATTGCTCTCTTTTGAATTGAATATGGCATTGATTGATTTTACATGTTGCATGATGTATAACTTAAAAGTACACTCAGTTGAGTTTCGAAAGTAATTCGGGATTTCACTGTTTTGCTTACTTCGCTTTGACAGGAAACTCGCGCCAAACTAATGCATATGTGACTTTGTCAGTCGAGTTTCCAGCGAGTTAACTATCTAATGTAATAAGTTTGTTCCACCTTTATCAGCCCAGCCCCCACCCCCCCAAAAAAACAACAACAATAACAATAACAAAGGTGTTAGCTCGTTTCCTTCGATTTGTGTCATTTAAACTGCTCGAAATTAATCACTTACCTAATCTAACATACGTGCCTGTGTTTCGCGGAAGGCGATGTTTTAAAGGCACTCAGCCTGCCCTTTCAGTCAAGTGTTTTTGATTGAAACGTGCATGCTAATAGAATTTGTAATTATTTCTTTAGAATAGAAACATAACTTGTCTTCAAAAGATAAAGGGGGCAGTGGTGAAGAAGGGGGCAAACTTGTTACTTCTGATGTAGTGGACGCGCAGACTGGGGGCTCTTAAACCTTTCTTTTTCTCTGATATGCTGTTGTGATTTCATTGGTTTTGGATCAACGACAGTCAATCGGAAAGCTGCCTTCTTCTCATCGTTAGTACTGATAGTCAGTAGATAAGGTCAATCAACTGACCAATCAGAACTTAGGTTAACTTAATTATTAGCCAATGGGAACTTGATGGCAAATGCGAAAGAAACTGAATATTTATATCCTGCATTATTAAATGCAAATATTTATCACGTTTTCTCAATTGAAGGAAACATTATTTACTATCGTGGGACCAATTTATATTGAAACAGTGTGTTACCAATAAACGATGAGATCAGCTGGACACTCATGGCAATTTCATTTGCCAGAGACAAGCCAGGCGACTCTGGGAACTTCACTTTTCTTTAACTGTCATCTTTTACCATATCTGCCTCTACCTTTTTATCCCTTTAATTCTAAAGATTGGGTGCGTTATTCTTTCTTCTAAGTGCTATGCTGTCAGAGTGAAGTGTTTTATTAAGTTCTTATTAACCGAGCGGGAGGGCTGTACGGGAGAATCTTGACCGAGGTCGGCAGTACAGACCGAACGCAGTGAGGTCTGTACCAGCGACCGAGGTCAAGATTCTCCCATACAGACCGACCTAGCTCGGTTAATAAGATGTTTATTATATGGCTGTGTCTTATATGCCATTTTTTTATATTCTTTGTACCTTTTTTTTCTAGACCGGTCTAGTTGCCGGTTTAGATGGGAAAATCTAGACCGCTTTCAGTATTGATTTCAGCCAATCAAATTCGAGAATTCGGTAGTTCCCAGTCCTTGCGAGACACGGCCATATAATAATTAACAATTATTCCACGAGCGCGCGTTGGATATGAGATGATAGATAGCCAACGAGGCGCGTAGCGCCGAGTTGGCTATAATCATCTCATATCCAACAAGTGCGAGTAGAATAATTGTTTTATTAAAAAAAACGCCCCCAAGATATTAGACAAATCTTCTCGACTATATTTTGTAAGAAGAAACCGGATGTTACAATGGACAGATATTAGATTAAGGTATATTGGCTCATATACCATAATGGCTAAGCCAATAAAAAGTCTTGAATTGCATTATCCAATGATCCAGTTTTTAATAATGAGTATTAGTATATACTAAAATAGTAGATAGCGTCGAGGGCGAGCTGTGATTGGCTGGTCAAACTCCGAATATCCTATACTATTTACCTCCGAACAACACGGCAAAAAAATGGCGTCCCGGTTTGCATCCTTGACAATCGAAGAAATCACTCAAATTAACGACGAAGCAGTCCCTGAAAACACTAAGGAAGCGACTAAATTTGGTTTGGCGGTGTTTACAGGTATTAGTTTAAAATTTAACCCGGAGTTCATCGATAAAAACCAATGAGAAAGGATTTGTTTACAAATGCAAATTAATCTTGCGTGGCTTGTTGTTTCAGTCCTTTCCGCGCGGGAAAATGTTGGAATGTATGAATTAAAATCAATTTTTGGTGGTGTATATTATCTCACTGTTTTAGTATATATTAAAACAACTATTCACCTCAGTGTYGGTGGTTAGCGGTGGATATTTACCAAGCCGCGAAGCGGCTCGGTAAAGATCTACCACTGACCACCTCTACTTCGGTAAATAGTTGTTAAATATTACATCGCTCGCAGCGCCCGTGGGCAAGATGAAGCGAATCCTGTTTTCTGATTGGCTACCCGAGCGAGCTGCTCGCTTTCATCGCGCGCAAGAAAATAGAGTGTGTGGAGAGGACTTAAAAAGTTCGTGGCTTTTGGACAATTTCGGCGACGAAGTTGCAAAAAGCAGCAGAAGACAATCAAAACAAATAAAACATTAAACGAGCCTCCTTAGTATACCGTGCGACAAACACAGTTGGTTTTCTTTCCCAGCTCTCGAAATAAACACTCATTCTTGATTCTTATTAACGCGAAATATTTATACCATTCTTAATCCTTGTTTGCTTATAGCGCTTAGTCTCCTTCAGCACGCAACGCTCCTAGTGTAGCGTGTGGCCTAAAGAATGGCTGCGAGTTAAGCAGGAGTTTAGCCGGAGTTTATACATCCCCGGAGGTGAACGTAGACAGTGGCAGGGACCAATCTAGTTGCTTTTGAAATCAGCACATCCTTTAAAGATCAAATTCTGATAGAAAACAAGAATAAAAAGTTATGACTATCTTGAAAATTGTCGGCTGTCGGGCTTTACTTTTCCAAACTAGAGGGAAATTACGGGAGTGCTTTCCAGAATTATCTTTGCCAACTCGTTGCCGTCTGCTATTCTTGAGTTAACGTTCTTTGATCAACCTGGGCCTTAGAAGAAACAGCGAAATGTAAATAGTTTGCGAATCTGATTGGTTTTCCTTCGCTCCCCCGAGTAAAGTTCTGAGGGCCTGGCACTGGCGTTGGAGTAAGAATGAAACAAACATGGCGGCCTCCACACTGAGTCAAAGTAAGAATTTTTCTTTTTGCTTGTGTCTTTGCATACCTTAATTTACATACTTATCATTGAAAATTTTGCAGAGCAAAAGCTTCCATCGGACCAAAGCTCAGATGAATGGACAATAAGGGAAAAACTAGCGTTAGCTTCGTCTGTGGTTCGAAGTGGCGATCAAAACTGGTTAGAGAGTGTTTGTTTTTACAAAGTTTACAGTCTGTTGCTCTAGTTGTTAGCAACAAGTAGTTGTTTGGATAAACTCTAGTTCCAAAAGTTTCATTTTTGAGAACGTTAGACAGTGTTATTAGTTGGAAAAAAAACTATTATGAATACGTAATTTCTTTTGTTTTAGCTGCTTGGTTATCCTAATTTTTTCTTTATGGTAGGGTTTCTGTAAGTCGTGGTATCAAACCTCTACTTGAAACGGGATGTTGTGCTAAACCAAGGCAACCTGATTTCTTCTCTCAAAAGGTAATTACGTGGGCATGTTCAGTTGTTAACCAATGTCAAACAAGTTTTTGGATAATAATAGTCCATTTTACAGTTGTGTGCTTGTTTGCCAAGCCTTTGAACAGGAGTGAGGCTAGAGATGACCTTGTTATGATACAAACCTTGCTGTCTTTCAAATGTAAATCACTTTGTTATCATGCTAACTAGATACAGGTCTCTATCATAACAAGGTCATCTTTAGCCTCACTCTGAATCAAAGGCTCGGCAGCTAAGTACACAAATGTAAAATGGCCTATTATGTGTAAGCTTACTGGTACGGGATACTAAAGCACTTTTACTTGGCGACATCTAATACATGCATTGTTGTTCTTGTTAACAGAACTGTGCTGTACATTACTCAGAAATGCTTGAAAAAGTGAACACACCTAAGTAAGTCAGAAAATTTGAGCATTGTATGTATGTGTATGACATTTATCAGATCTTTATTATATCTAAAAATCGCATTTGTCATCACTGCTAATTAATTAATTTTACTACACTTTGTAATTTAGACATTATTGTAAAAGTGATGCATTTGTGCTGTTTGCACCTTCTTGTTGGTTACCATTTATTTGTTACGTAATCTTTTCTCTTTTTGTCTTATGATATCAGCATACTTTGAAATTTTTGCAACTTTGTAATTTCTTTAAGAGTTAAAGCTTTATCAATTTTTAACTTGTAAATATTATAATATTATGTTCAGCCTGAAGAAGGTGACAAAAACCTTTACTGGTAAAATGCTGGATTAGTCAAGAGTTAATCTTTGTTTTTAAACATTACTTATTAAACATTTTGGAGAAGAAACTTGTATCCTAGAATGCTCCAAGATATGTTCCTCTCTGTATATTTCCTGTCATTTAAATCCGCCATCTGAGTTTATAGATGATAATAAACTATGATCTCTTTTGGTATGATTTTATTATTTTTTTGATATTATTTTACTCCTTCCCTTGCACTGTGTTTGAAAAAAGTGCATTTTTTTTATTATTATAGGAGGAAGCGTACTAATGAAGGAGGTGGAGCTGGTAAGACCACTCAAATAGGCTTCTAAATGTTCATGATCTGTATAACAAGTAACAGATTCTGATTTTTCATGTCAATTGTTTTGTTTTGCTTCTTTGTTATAGAAACACCTGGTGACCAAATTGTAAGAAAACTGACTTTTGAGAGGATTGAAGAATTAAAGAAGTCTATCAGAAATGATCAATTCACCTATAAGTAAGAAACAATATGAGATTCTAAAATAAAGTTGCTCTTGCAACTACATTCAAAGTTTAAAGAGCAAGTAGCTTCCCAGACATAAGATATTACTTAACTCTTAAATGTTCTATCAGCCTAATTCATTTTCCTTCTCTACCATAAGCATAATTGAGGGACTCTGTTTGCCTAGATTTCTTACTAATAAGCCTCAGGAAAAAAAAGCAGAAAATGCAGTAACATTTGGGTCAGGGAACTTGACTCCATATCCAAATGTCCGGGTTCAAACTCAAGCAGGGTCACAATGCTGCATCCTTTTATAAGACTCTAAACTCTTACAGTGGCTTGCTTTACTACTAACTTTAAATGAATAGCAACAAGTTATCAGGGAAACCTGATAAAATGCTGTGGGCTTCCTGTAATAACCAGCTTCTGGTCTAGGGAAAGTAGAAATACTCTTTGTTGCTTGATACTACATACACCAGGAAAGGCATGGGTAGAGATGGGACTTCTGCCACTAAGAGTGAATTTTTGTTTTAGAAAACTTTTAATGAGAAATTTGGATTGGTCCAGTGTGCTTTATAAAATGATCTCTGTGAAAAGTTGGAGTTTTGTCAAAAGAACATTTTCAAAAGTGTTTCCTTATTATGTAACCACTTGCATCCAGTTTGGAAGGAGAATCAACCATTAGTAAATTTCCAATGTCACTTGGGTACTCTTCTAGGTACCCTTTGTAGATATACTTACAGTAATGAAAGACTGTTGTTTTCATTCACTAAGTGTTACTGAACCTGTGAGGACAAGTGTTTATGTTAGTTAGTCACAATGCTAACCACTCTTACAGGAAACTTAAAGAGAGAATAGAAGAAGTAAAAAGTGGAAAACTTGACCAGAAGCTTCCTGGCTTGTGGGATGAAATTAAAATGTATGCACATATTTTTCTGTTTTCTTTTTGATGATGAAATTATTCCTGAATATGTTTAGGTAGTTTTCTGACTTTGCATGGAGCCTCAGTTATAATCATTATGTTACAAATTTTTCTTTTGTAGAGGACAGGTGTGAATGCTGAAGGTGTCATTCTTATCATAGTGAAACTTTTTAACTCCAATCAGATAATTGGAAAATATTGTGTAGAACTTAGATACTAAGGACCAATATTACATGAACATAGGGATTATTTTCATTTCTTCGTTTTCTGAAGGAGAAAGAAGATGAGGCCACCACCTGCCCCCCAGCAAGAAGGGGATGGGTCAGGTCCAGTTACTCCTACCACACCCACCATGCCCATCACCCTTACTACACCTGGAGGACAACCAGGGGTACAGACAGGTACTTTTACCCTTACTAACATTTTCATTTACAAAAGGGTATCTTGCAGAGGTGGACTATTGCGCATGTGATAGTCTCTATTTGTAAACTGATTTGCAGGTGGTGCCAAGCCTCAAGGAAATCAGCCACTGTCTTCTCCACAGAAAGGGAAACAACTGAGGATTCCTAAACCAACAGCAAAGTATGCACACTACTATTTTTTGTTGTCAGTACAAATACCTGTACTTGTAGCTTGTAAGCAGTTTTTGTACAAAGGTTCTTAAATTTTTAAGGGGCCTGAATGCACTTGAATAGCTTTCCTTTCTTAAAGTGTCTAGTTTTTGCACAAACAACATACTGTTATGAGTTTAAATCTCTCTACTGTGCATGATCAAATATTCTGTCCCAATACTTGCCCGAAGAAGAGAAGGGCCACACTGTAAACCACCTTGGTGAATTAAGTTCCCTCATTTATTATAATTTTTTTATTATAAAATACTAAAGAAGTCTTCTTGGTTCAAATCACTCTAAATCTAACAAGTACTAGTTTACCAAATAATAATAATGATAATAATGATAATAATAATAATAATAATAATAATAATAATAATAAAGATCGTGCACTGGGAATGGTACGGGAGTTTGAAGAGCAAGCGGCAAGGATGGGGTGTAGGTCCATTCTTAAAAAAGTGGCTAAGTGCGCAGAGGTGTTGGGGCTGGAGTTGGATTTGGAACATGTGCAAGGGATTAAGAAGGAGGTGTGGAGGTGCCAAATTAAGAAGTTAGAGGATGAGATCAGAAACCAACGATGGCAAGGGCGTCTAGTGACTACCAGGCTAGAGGATGAGAGTTTGAGGGCTGATGGGTGTTTCTGGTGGCTCACAGAGCGGAAGAACTGCCCATCACACACAATTGCTGGACTCGTCAAGCTATATGAGCAGCTCTTGCCAATGTGAGTATGCATGAGTCAGAAGACCCACACAAGTGGGGAAGGTGAGGTGAGGTGCAGATTATGTGATAAGGCTCCAGAGAGCGTGGCTCATATCTTGTTAGGATGTAGTGCGCTGGCCCAGAGCAAGTATCTCTCTAGACACGAAGCAGCACTGAAGGTACTTTTTTATAAACTGTTGTATGATGAGGGAGTTATAGACGAGATACCACCCTGGCACTCATCCGACAAGCCCAAGTCTGTATATCAGTCAGAGAATGTTAAAGCTTATTAGGAGGTCCCTATATACACTGATCAACAAGAGGTCAGATGTGATAGGGTGGATGCACGCATTGTAAATCATATGTGCAAGAGAGTTGTGATGCTGGAAATGAGCTGCCCGTGGGTTAACAATCGGACAAGAAAGGATGAAGAGAAGACACTTAAGTACAGATCCCTTCGCTGGGAACTAAGGAAGCAGTTCCCAGGCTACAAGGTGAAGCAATATAATATCATTATGGATACCCTCGGGGGGTGGTTACGGGAGCTGGATGTCATGATGTGCAAGCTGGTGGGAGGCAGAAGCACAGACGTACTGCGAAAGATGCAGAGGGCAATGCTCTCAGACACGTTGAATATTGCCTGGACTTTCAAGGTGGCAGTTTGAGTTCCTATTAGAAGGAGGACCGTATACACAACGTAAAAGCTTTTTAGGATTAGTTAATGTACATTTATTTTTTACTCCATGGCTCACAGGTTACGGATTTCGCCTTCTCTTGCTTGATTAGAATGTAGCATTCAGTTGAATTCTCTGCGATAATAATAAAAAGTTTTTGGGTGCATTTAGAAAACTCAACATGTTTACATTACTATATAGAAAAATAGTAATAAATTAGTTGATACATATAAAATGTTTATCATAACAGTAATAAATAAAATAAATGAAATAATTAATTGAGAATTATTTGATGTGAAAGCTAGATACAGTTCCTCATAAAATAAATCAAGAATAAAATTTTCGAAACAAGAATGTTTTGAGGGCAGATTTAAAAGATGAAAGAGATGCTATATTTTTAACAGAATCTGGTAGACTGTTTCATAGTATAGGTGCAAAGAAAGAAAAGCCACATTCACTGTATATCACAGAGTTCATAATAAGGACAGTGGAAAGAAGTTTAGAGGATGAGTGTAGGCTTCACTGCAGGTGGTATTGTTGAAGGACAAGTAAACGGGACAAAGACCATGGATAATCTAAAATGTGATGAGCAGAACTTTGAAAATAATCCATGACTCAACAGGTAGCCAGTGTAGTTCTTGAAGAGCAGGCTTGATGTGCTCATATCATTTAATTCCAGTGATGAGGCATGTGGCAGTATTTTGAATTCTTTGAAGTTTATATAGTTCATGTTTTGGGAAACCATAGAGGATACTATTACAGTAGTAATAGACCTAACTGTGTTGATAAACCTGAATGACTTTGTCCCTAGGAAGGTCATTTGTCCATGTATGCAGGCCTTGATAACTTTGACTTATTGCTTATAGATTTCAGAAGTATCAGCAACAACTTCAACAGAGACATGGACATTCTTCCCAGTCTTCCCCGCTCAGTCAGGCACCTGATGGACTGGCCACCCCTTCTGAGAGGTCCCCTTTAGATGGAGGAACTTTCTCACCAGGGCTTGGAGGAGGGCCTTCTGGGGGACTAGGACAAAGTGGTGGATCATTTTCAAGTGTAACTCAGGTAGAAAACAAGGTTTATTACCATTCATTTGTATCTAATGAGAACTGGTTTCCTGTTAATTTTTCAATCATTGTAGATGTTAATAAGCAATAGCTTGTGCCCATTCTTAATTTTGTCAATAATTGTCACTTGAGCTGAACTTTGAGTAGAAAGATTACGTTTTGACTCAGGAGGTTTAAAACAGCATTTAAACCATCAGTCTGTCTCAGGGTGACCTTCACTCAGATTATCACATGATATGAGATCCATATTTTTACATTTATACATCCACTACTTGTCAAGTGAAATATCACAAGTGACTGTATTACTTAGCCCAGCCTAGCCAGCCAATTCTAAGTTGGTGGAGTTTCAGGGCACAAATTAGGAACTGGCTGTAGTTTGAGGCGTCACAAGGAACTCAGGTTTTTCTTTGTTCCCAGGTAAAGAGAAATATCTCAAGTCCTACTTGTTTGTCATTTGACTGACCATCTGTCCTACTCTATGCTAGCAATTTAGATATTAATGCCTATAAAATTGCTTTAGTTGCAGAGTTCTAAAGGAGAACCAATGGATGTTGACTTGAGTACTATTTTGGCCTCCGACTCCCAAGGTGACATGGTCACTCCTCAGGTGTCTCCTCGGAAAACAGATCGAGTACCTCAAAGCCCAGTGAGACAACAGAGTGGTACATCAACACCAGCTGTAGCTAGCTCCCAGGGTTCTAATGAATCTCCATTAGTTTCATTGCTATCTCAGCCATCCTCAAAGGACAGTAAACAGATAAGAAGGGCCAGCAATCCTGATCAGGAGATGCCCCCAACTAAGGTACCTGTATTCACATAGAAACTGTTTTGTTGGTAACTAAGTAGACAATCATTTTGCTCTGTTTTATGTCATCCCAAGGACAAAATATGATTTATTTTGTGAATGGATTTCCCAACAGGATACAAAAAACCCAGTTAACCTTGCCCTATTCAATATGTGGCTTTATTTCTGAGCTGCTACTGCTGTAGTATTGCCTGAATGGTATGTGGGATAAGCAGGCTTCTCTTTCTGCAATTTTTTTTCTGCAATTTTTTTCTGTTACTTCTGAGAATTATTTTCAATTGTTATTTGGTCAAAATATGATTTATTATACCTTATTAACCAAGCGCGAGGGCTGTACTGGGAGAATATCGGCCTGAGGTCTTGACAGTACGGACCGAGCGCAGCGAGGTCTTTACAAAAAAGACCAAGGGCCGATATTCTTCCAGTACAGTCCCGAGCAAGCTTGGTTAATAAGAGATTTATTATACGACTGAAGTTCAAAGGGACACAAGTGCGGTATCATTCGGGACCATTCAGGACAGTGCCCGGTCTAATACTGAGAGAATATTGACCAGCAATAGAGCATTTTGATTGGTCGATTTTAGTTATTGGCCCTCTGACTCCCCGAGTCGGGTAATAATTTACAATTATTCCACGAGTGCGAGTTGGATATGAGATGATAGATAGCCAACAAGGCGCGTATCGCCGAGTTGGCTATAATCATCTCATATCCAACAAGAGCAAGTGGAATAATTGTTTTATTAAAAACGTTAAAGTAAATTATTAAATTTTATTAAATTTTTAGCTCCCTTTTAATTTTAAGCTGATGTGTACGCTTACCATATTTGTTGATTATGGTATATTGGCTCATATACCATAATGGCTAAGCCAATCAAAAGTCTTGAATAGCATTATCCAATGATCCAGTTTTTAATAATTCATTTTATAACACAATGTGTGTGTTTGCCCTGTATAAGTCCTACTGAGCTGCTATGAACAAATTCTTTATTTATGCACACCTGTGTGTAAATAAGATGATGTGAGCTTTCTTTTTTTTACCTGACTGCAGAATTGCCATCCTGTTAAGCTGCAGTGCAGTTTTCCTTCTGTTAAAAATATGGAAGAAACCAGTGAAGAACTGCCCAAATTTTCTATCAGCATTGACCTTTTAGGTCTTGATGGAACAAGCAGCAAAAACAAAGCCAGAAAAGACACAAAAGTTGTGTGTTTCACAAATTTGTTGGAAGATCAGCAACACTTGAGTTCATTTAGCTTTGATTTTCTCCATTTCTCTTGTTAAGTTTTAGCTTTTCATCCACAGTTATCGGTTAACTGGATTAATTGTTCTCTCTCAAACCAAAGTATAAAATGTGGCATGTTTTTGACCAGCCAGTAGGGATGTTTGTTTATTTTTTTAGTGCATTGTGAGAATTTTGTACTCCATCACAATAAAGAAGCTTCTTTGTGCAGATCATTGTTGTTGCTCAGTTATAAAAGAATATGTTCATGCTCTTAGCTGTGCGTATATCGAGTAATGTGGCTTCATTAACTGGATCGAATGGTCTCACTCAAACCAAAGTATACAATGTGGCATGTTTTTGATCAGCCATTAGGGACGTTTGTTTACTTTTTTTGTGCGTTGTGAGAGTTTTGCACTCTATCACAATAAAAAAAGCTTCTTTGTGCAGATCCTTGTTGTCACTCTGTTATAAAAGAATTTGTTCACGCTTTTAACTATGCATATATAGAGTTATGGATGCACTCGGAAAGTTTGGAGAGTCCTCAAAAAGTTAGAGTAGCTCGAGCCATAGCCTACTCTTATGCAATTTTCATGCTCTCTAAACTTCCCATGTGCATCCATAGCTCAATATACGCACACTAAGCATGAGTGAATTCTTAATTTTTTAATGAAAATCAAACAGGCAACTATGCAGCCAAACATACAGCAGGACACATGAAAAAGGTATATGACACTTATTAAGGACACAACAGCACATTTATGTAAAAGACTTTGACATGTCAGAAGTAGATCACTCATAAAATCATCTAATACTGTACTTTCAGGAGCTTGAGAGTCTTACATCTCAAAGTAGTCAGCTCTCTGACCCACTACCAACTCCACACTCAACAGCTTCCCAAAGTACTGGTCAAGCCTCAGACTCCCAAAAATCTGATGGAAAGCATTTTTTAGGTAAGAGATTTAATTTTCACCCACACCAAGCTGCTCAGAAAAAGGCTGATAGTTTCTAAAGAAACTGTTTGGGGCTGTGTCGGTGGGGGTAACGAAATAATTTGAGTATATCAACAAAGTTGAAATGGTAAATTGGCCACCATTATGATTATAAAAGCTCCGACAAAGGGCTAACGCTCGAAACGTCAGCTTTTATAATCGTAACAGTGGCCAATTTACCATTTCAACTTTGTTGATATATTCAAATAATTTGCTTAGAGAAAGGCTCACTGGCACTTTAGCTTGCCAATTTTCATTGATTAGAACACATTGTAATAGCTCAAAAACAGAAGACCTTATGGTAATGGAGTAACACTGTGTACATGGGAACTGACAAACTCACACTAAGATAGAAAGTTCAAGTTCAAGTTCCTTTTGCTCATATGATTCAGAGTCACAAACAGTTGTATAGTCAAGCTATCGCTTGAAGACTGTGGCTGTAGTCTTGTGCAGAAATATGAAAACCATTATCACAAAGCATATGAAAATTTTTTTATGATGGTAATGATGTTGATCATAACTGACAACAAAGAATACTACATGTAGGTGCTGGTTGTTATTCCAGTTATGTCCTGGATTGAATTTGAAAAGTGATTTAATTTTGTTTTATTTCATAAAATCATATCTTATAGCTAACACTTACTAAACACAGATTGTGTATGGGCCTGAAATTTTTTCAGGCCTTGTTTTAAGTACTCCCTAAGTAGTGTTCATTACTGCAAGGATTGCTTTCATACATTTCTTAAAACCGCAGTACACGTATATGATTTTCATATATTCAAATTCATTAAAGTTAAAACTTAAGGGAAAAAACATAAGTGATAAAGCTGTCTGCAAACTTATAAACTAAAATAAAAAAATTACAGCAGCCTTCTTTTATTGTAGTTGTTTAAATTCATTTGTCTTTTTTCTTTTTGTTTTTGTTTTTGTTTTTGTTCGGGTTTTTTTTTTTGGGGGGGGGGGCTTACCCCCTCAATGGAGCCCAAAAAGGCTGGAAGAGAAAAGGAAATACTTGTACACTACAAGTTTTAATTCATTTATTTAATTTTTTTTATTATTTTTATGTTGTCTAGGGGTTACTCCCTCCATGGAGCCCGCAAAGCTGGACTCCATGAGGGAGAGACCAGGAAACACACCTCAAGC